ATCGTCTTAATGTTGTTTTCATCTTTGTTAATATTCGCTAATTCATTACGAAAATACAATGATCTATATCTTAAAATATTAGTATGTGCTTGGAATATTTTATTATTTGGTGACTCCCCAACATTAATGATTACATTAAAATCTTCTTTATCATTTAGAAGTTCAAGGCAATCATTTGAAAGCTTTTCAAAAAACTTTGTCATTTTTGAAATTATGATGTACGTAGATGCAAATAAGTTACACTATTTATGTACAACTCCTGTAACACAAAGTTTACATTTCCAATTTAGGGTAAGGATCTGATTGGACAATTTGATCTAATTTTTCTATGGAGGTCTTGAGGATGCCCTTAGCGTTAGTACTTATCTTGCTGAATTGTGTATTGTGATAATAATTTAGCTAAATATGGCAAAAAATTCGGCTATATAAAAAAACTTACCAAAAGTTTCCGAATTGTTATGTGTCATTTATTGATTCCTGTAAATTCAGAATCGACATGTGTTATTTTTGAATCATTGAATAACGTATGTGTAGGAATTAGTATTGGTTTTACCGATTAATTAAAGAATATTTATTTTATTCAAGAAATATTTATCTAGCAATGAATAATAAAAAGCAATTGCACTTCTTTATTTATTTCTATTTGCTTATTTAAAAAAATACATTATTTATTTATTATTGTTTTTTTTAAAAAAAAGTTATTACATGAAATGAAAGCAAATGTTCATTTTTTGGAAAAAAAATCAACTTTTAACAGCAACAGAAGGTATTCTGTAATGGCATCATAGTTTTTTAATTGTTGAATAATTTCGTCCCATATGTTAAATAATCGCTAATATTATACGTAAACCTTCATTAATAAACAAACATATTAGAAAGCTTATTCCATTGCTATTTAACTCCACCTTCCTTTGAAGATTGGACTAGATTATATGTCTTCTTTTGACATAGTTTTAACGAAAGCGAATACTTTTACAGGGCATTTATTTTGACCATTTCATTTTGTCACAATTTCACAGAGTTCAAATACATATTTGCATTTATTTTGTTTATTTCGATAATTTTCAAATAAATTACTGATTTTTGATAGTTATTAACCAAAAGTTTTCAACAGAAATTAGGTGTATTCTTTCTACTTTGTATGCAAGTATTAATTTTTAGATGAAAATTAGGATATCATTTTTATTGACTTAGTCACGGGAGACAAATTTTTGCGGCATTATTATTTCACTCTCTTTTTGCTTTACACGAATGCACGTAATTAATCATAGCTGCTCTGATGAAATTTCATCAATAAGTAACGTAAGTCATTTGTTGATTGGCGGAAATTCAAATTGACAGGATCAATAAACGACACATAACACATACAGTACCCTGAAAAGTATTCTAAATGTAATCACTTTTTTCTTTAAAATCAATATGGGCCGATTCAGCTTGACCTAAAATCATTCAATCATAATGAAGAAAAATTATATTGTTAAAATTTGTATACAAAGTGAGTTGTCATGAAAAGGACCTTTTAAACTTACCTTAAATCCATAATTAATTATAGTATGTTGTGCTACCTAATTATAGGTTGAAAGTAAGTTAAAAAGGCCATTTTCCTGAAAATTTGCATCTGAATTCACCCTTACCGCTGTCTATTTCCCGATAGGTCATTTTCCCAACATCACGCAATGTGATAATTTAAATAATATATAGCTACAACTAATAGGCAATGATTGGCAATTTATATCATTTTAATTTTACATTATTTATACTTTTTTAAAAAAATAAGAATAAACAAAAAAGAAGTATATAGAAAGGTTTATTAGGGTTGTAGGCAGTGTTGTAAATTCAAAAAAATTTCTATGTTCACAAATATTATTTTCTATGTTCACAATATAAATATAAAGGAAAAACTTTGATTTTTTTAAAAAATCTATGTTCACGTGAACATGTGAACATACAATTTCCAACACTGGTTGTAGGACTCCACTGTCAAAAATAATCAAAATTCTTTTTTGTTTTTGAGAATTTAGCATAATAGCGACTTCTTAAAGATAGATAAAATTAGGTTATCACCATGCTAACTTCTCTAAAACAAAAAAGAATTTTGATTATTTTTAATAGTGAATCCTACAACCCTAATAAAACTTTCTAAATACTTCTTTTTTGGTTTATTTTTTTAAAAAAACTACTTTAAACTGTATAAATAATGTAAAATTAAATTGATTTAAACTGCCAACCATACAAAAGTCTGCCTATGAAAGTGATGCCGGTACTGTTACTGTAAATGACCTGTTGATAAAATTGCCATTGAGAAATGAGCAAAAACGTATTTAAACGACTGAACCGATCATTAACTATATGAATGCGTCCAACTGCTTCAATAAATAGTGCTTTCTTTACAGTTTAGCGTAGCCATTTTACTTATATTTATCTCATATGGAGATTAAAAGCTCTTTATTGAATATTTCGTTTGTTACGCAACCTATTGTTAATAGTTCGTGCAACCATCTATCAAAAAAAGGCTCAAATCGCGGATATACAGTCATACCCAAATTATATCACCATTTTTTCTAAATCATTTTTAGAGATATAACTAGGGTGGAGACATAACTCAATATACAATCCTTATAAAAAAAGGAAATTTATTCTGCTAAAAAACGGGGATATAACTCAGGTTGGGTTATAACTAGTGATATGACCCGGGTAGGTGCCACTATAGTTGGTGGTAGAATTACTGAATTACGGCAATTACGGCATTTTATCAGTGTAGAATTAATTACGGCATAGCATCTAATTGCCGTAAAAATTGTATGCCGTAATGCCGTAATGTCGTAATGCCGCAATAACACAATATTGTAATGCGATACCGTAACTACAATATAATATTATAATGTTATAATTAAGTAACTACGTCACTCCAAACCGGAAACTGAATATGTTGTTATTTCCATACAAGCATTTCATTTACGTTAATTAGTCGGTAAGTATAAAAGTTATTTATATTCTATTTAAAGTGTAAGAAATCTGTATGACAAAGGTGAAAAAATATTCTATGGTTACAAAGAGATGAATTAAGATGCCTATAATGTGGAGCAACAAAAGATGGTAAGGATACCCGATGATTGCACAATAGCATTTCAACTAAGAGCCTTTGCATATAATAATTACATTCAATGAACTTGATAATGTTAAAAGAATTGGAAAAGAAGAGTTTGGCTCTTTATTTTCTATGACATTGATTGAACTATCTAGTAATTACAACTGTTACATATTAAGTAATAAATAGAATGTTTCATAAGTCATTAACTGGGCCGACTGAATCAAACAGCTTACCTGGGCTATTCAAATGAACCACTTTGCAACCTGTTAATAATTTTTGAATAGACATCAGCTTAAATTTTATGAGTCCATTCTTTACATATAATATCTATTTGCAAAAAAAAAAAAAAACAAAAAAAATTATAACAATGAAATATAATTAAGAACATAAATTACAATAGTTGTAATGAAATTTTTAAAACACAGTCATAATTATTATTGTAATCTGACAATGATGTCATTTATGATCAATTAGATGTTCTCAAACAATGACCTATAGAATAGTCTAATTGGTCAAAAAAACAAATCATGATGTTTAAGTCAAAATAAAACCTAGATCTATCATTACATATACTAAATCAACAAAGTCGACAGGACCAAATTCGAAAAATATTTAATAGTATGTTACTTAAAGGAAAACATAATGCAGTACAGCATTTTAATAAATGGAATTATAGCAGATAATATTTCTGCATTATGGCATTACAGCTTTATGGCATTACGGCATTATGACATTACGGCATTACGACTCACGGCAATTATGGCAAAAAATACAGCATGTGCCGTAACCGTATTAATTTGTAAAATTAATTCTACCACCAACTATAGGTGCCACCAGGTTACCCGCTGGTGGGTGGGTAATCTGAGTGGAAATGGGTGGGTCACCCGACGAATGACCCGTGAACAATAATTGCAATTGCTTTACTAAACTTCAATCCAAATATGCATTTATATATATATATATATATATATATAAACTTACTCGATAGATCAGAGGCAGGGTTTAAAATTGGCTTGTACAAGATGCACATGTGCAAGTGTTTTTTTGGATTTTTTTGGATTTTTAAAAAATCTCTTAAGTGTGCAAGCAATGCTTTTTAAAAAAGTTGCACAAAATGCATTTGTGCAAGTGATTTTTTTTTTTTGAATTTTAAACACTGATCGGAGGTAAAATTTTTTTAACGATACAATTTCACTGAGATACAAATTCACCATTGATAAAGGAAGCTCAAGAATTACTTTTACATGTTTACGTATCAAACATACCGTAGAGCGCTGCATACAGTACCCGGTGTGACAAATAACATAGATCAATTTTTTAAAATATTATTTATGTATGCCATGTGATGTAAACAATTGTGTAACACAGGTGATCTTTAATTTTTCACTATGTAAAAAATCGTGTCACACCGGTGTCACGGGCTAATTAGTGACTTGCGTCACCAAATAACCTAGCTCAGAAGTGACCACTATGTATTTTCGCCTAAAGCGATTCAGGATGTTCTGCACAAGGATAAGTATTTACTTTATATTTTTATTTCTATTACTTTGTTATGAAAGGACGAGAACATCTTTATTATTATTTTCGCTTCGCTTTAATATGTCTAATTTGACTCAATAATTACATCATAATTCGATCACAGGTATTTAACCCTTAAATTAATTACATATTTCTGACTTATTATTCATGCATAAACCTTACTTTACGTCGATAAACTTCCTTGTATTACCGACCATTACATAATTGATCGTGATTAGTGATTGGCGCCGTAATCATGTGATGCTAATTGTCACATGATACAATATATAAAAATCAACAATTAGATTGTTGATTATTATATATTTTACCACGTGACAATTAGCATCACATGATTACGGTGCCAATCACTAATCGTGATTCGATCTAAACTTTATAATTCCGACTGATCTTCCAAACTACGTGCACCACGTGCACACGGCACTCATTTACTCAAACTTCTCCAGTTCGAAATCACATAAAGTATCTTTATTCTTATATAAACTTCTCCAATTCGAGAGCATATATTCATAGTCCATATTATAATCTTCTTCCATTCGAAAGCATATCCTCTTTTTTTTTTTTTTTTTTTTTTTATCATTAAGTATTATCTCAGAGATCCAAGTCGATCCCTTTTATTAAGTATATCGAATACTTATTTTTGCCATGACACCGGGTACTGTATGTAGCGCTCTACGGTAATAAACAATAAATTCTTACCCAATCCAAAAAAAATTACTATTTTATTTTTAATTCTAGACTTTTAAAACAAACTACTGAGGATATACTATTAGAAATATATTTGTATATACGGTATGCGTAATAATCTATTTTCACCCGGGTGACTTATGTTCCACCCGACGGGTTGCTTTTTTTAACCAACCCGGTTTCTACCCGGGTGGTGTTTTTTTTTGACGGGCCCAATCACTAGTTATAACCCAGTGAGTATATAACTCAGGAGTGACTATATAATTTCTCCACAATCCATCTATGAAATGATATTTTATAAACAAACCAAAAAATGTTGATATTTTCAACTCTAACTTAAATTGATATGTTCAAAAAAGGCACATATGCAAAAAAATTGTAAATGAACCCACTTGTTCAAATATTATGTCAAATTCGATATATATTATGCTCATGACCTAATTTAACGATTCTGTTATACCATCAACATATATGCTCTATTCAGTATACCCCTTGTATAGTACCCTCTTCCTACAGTATCAGGGGTATTATTTTTATTTAATCTAGCTTGGTTTTTTTTTTGATAAACTAAGAGTGCTTTATACGGAGTTGTACGGTAAAATTCTTAAAATTTTTTCCTTTGAAGGAAATTTGAGTGCCAAAATTCCATTTGCACAAAAGGCTTATAAGGATTTGATCTGAATGCGAAATTTCCGAAAATTAAGAATTCCAGCTTTTTCACTTGCGGCACCCATTTATCAAAGTATGATTGAAATATTCAATTTTTAGCAAGTCAGAGTAAGGGATATTTGTGCAGATCTCAGTAATACTGTAATATGTCTATTCAACAGGAGGAACCGTTGATACGTCACAAAATCGTTACACAATTGATGAAATACTTTTTTAGAAGGCTCGCTTGCCTTATCTTTTCTATGAATATTGGAAATGGTTAAACAAACATGAAGCTCTCACTTTGCTTTACAATATATTTCTTGAATCCCCTTGAATCCCATGGTTTCGTCTTTTTGTAAATTTCGCAATTTGATTGGTTGACTAATCCTGTAGTGATATTTTGACTGGTCGATACAATGAGTGATCTGTGTAACGGAGAATGAAAATCATATCTATATTTGGGGCCGTCTAAAGCGGAGCAGAATCACGTGACATTCGATCAATCAAATCATAGAATTTTGCTGATCACTGACGAAGCAAAACAAGAAAAAAAGTGAAAAACTTGAAAATACAAAAAATAGCAGTCTAAACCTACCTTGGGTAAGTTAAGTAAAAATATCGGGAAGGCAATTTTGCTTACATATAACTGCCAAAAACCTGCTCTAACCTTAATCCAAGATAACATAATCCTAAAGTTAATTCAATAAATATATATTTTAAGAATCTACTCCGCTTTAGACATCCCCTATATTTGGACGGTTTCTCCTGTTTGTCTATTCTTATTATTTACTGATAATGTTATGAATAGTTAAAATTACGTCATAATACTTGTGTACTATTTTAATTACTAGAAAACCATTTAAGGCTATAAAAAAAAAATTACTTGGAATTGTTTGGAAAATTCTGAAATTATTCGATTTTTGTTCAGACTCCGTTCCGAGCATTTAAAGGATACTTATTGGATGAATGCCGTTTTTTATACGATAATTTTCAATAAAATATTTTCTACTTCTTATATCCCGTACAAACGTCGTTATGAAAATAGTACAAACATAAATCCTGTTTGGAAAATCGACTCTGTTCCGAACATTTTTTTGGACAATTCCTACAATAACTGTACAAACTTTTTTTATAGGATGATGGGTTTAGTACGCAAATTGACAGTCTTTTTTGAGTTTAAACCGAAAAAGTTTATAGCCATATAGATTATTAATAGAGTATATGGAATCGAAAAAACATCACATAGTGCCTCTGGCCATAATGATATGTACATAATAAAGTATCACAATAAGGGACATGTTGAATAAACTATTATTTGGATACTATTCTTTCTGAATTTGTAATACTTCACATTCTGTTACACAAAATCAGATACACCACTCTGGTTTCTAATTGCTTTTTCATATGAACAATGATTACAAGCACAACCACCAAATTACGACTATTCCCCACAACAATATCCAAAGTTGGTCCAAATCTAGAACTACAATAAATTGCAAGTGATGGATCTCTTACGCGACTTAAAATAGAGGATTTGATCGTACCATTTTTCAATGAAAAAATAAAGCTATCATTGCATTTTATCCAACCAGCTTCATTAATCCATTGGATTGGATTAAATCCACCAAGGATTTCATCAGTGCCATTAACCTTCATTACTACAACGGTGTTTGCTCGCCCATTACATAAATTCCAAAATGATTGAGCAGTAAAACCATCTCTTGTTCCACGGAGAAGTAATTTAAATTTATATGGATGTTAGTTACTGAATATACTTCAGTTTTCCTATCAACCCATGATGCTATTTCTACTGCATGAGCTTCATTAATAACAGTTGAAGGAAATGATTCAGTTACTCTAGATGGTAATGTTGATGTTAATATTTTACGAGGTGGAAGGATTGTTGATAATATTTGTCTATTTGGAATAATCAATTTTTGGAATATATCATTCCAAAGATTTTCTTCAAGGATATTCTTATATGGGTTGACTTTATCAAAAATATCTTCATTAGACATTTGGAAATAGCGAATAAGAGGCAAACAATTCCGTAAAGTAGTCTTTAAGGTTAAAAAGTTTTCATGAGACCAATCTTTAGTATCAGTCGGTAGATCCGGACTTTGAGCAACTCCCCATCTTATAACATGATCCCAAATTTTCCCTTCATTCATTTGTAAATCATCTCGCTTAATGAGTGAAATTAGCGCATTTTCTGGAAGAGAGGTAAATTCTTCTGACTCGAAAATCTTATCTGGATACTTTGCCAAAATATTGTTGCTCCATTTTTGTAATTCTTGAAGTTTTTCATTTTGAAAACTTTTATGATAAATGCGAGTAAAATTTAAACGAAGCCAGTGTGCATTTTTTTTAATTAATTGTTCTTCAAAATGACTTACTAATTCATCAAGATGAAATTCGGAAGCAACAAAGATGAGTTCAAAAATAAATTATGCGTCTTGATCGTTTTTTAACGAAATCACACCTCCGTAAATATATCTATTAAATTAATAAATTTAATAATTCAAAATTAGGTTTCACATACGCATTGAATATACACTAAGTAACTATCATCCTATGAACTTGTAAGTTTATGCCTTTAAGTTAAGATTTAATTTACTAATCTGCAAAAATATATAGCTTACCTAATAATTACTTCAAATTGTTGAATAGAAATATGTTTTAAATTAATCGTCTTAATGTTGTTTTTATCTTTGTTAATATTCGCCAATTCGTAACGAAAATACGAAGATCTATATCTTAAAATATTAGTATGTGCTTGGAATATTTTATTATTTGGTGATTCCCCAACATTAATGATTACGTTAAAATCTTCTTTATCATTAAGAAGTTCAAGGCAATCATTTGAAAGCTTTTCAAAAAACTTTGCCATTTTTGAAATTACGATGATAGATGTAAACAAGTTACACCATTTCTGTATTTATGCACAACACCTCTGTAACACAAAGATTACGTATCACATTTCCAATTTAGGGTAAGAATCTGATTGGCTAATTTTATCAAATTTTTGTTGAGGGTAGCGTGAGTACTTATCTTGCTGAGTTGAGTATGGCAATCATAAGTTAACTAAATATGACAAAAAATTCGGCTATACAAAAAAAACTTATAAAAAGTTTCTTAACTAGCATCATAATATCAATATAAACATATTTGATATGAAGTCTGTACAATTATTTTATTATTAAAGAACTTATAAACTTTTTATAATCTTAACTCTTTTTTGTTACATTCATAATCTAAAAATGACAGTAGCTTGCAAAATTTGAATGCGCCCATAAGGGTTTATCAATGCATATGTTATGTGATTCCTGTCAATTCGGAATCGACATGTTTTATTTGTGAATTAATGAATAGCGTATATCGTTTTGGAATCGGCATTGAATTTACTTATTAATTAAAGAATATAATCAATATTTATCTAGTAATGAATGTTAAAAAGCAAATTGCGGTACTTTATTTATTTCTACGTAAGTATTTGTTTAGTTTGTACTATTGTATTTATTTATTATTGTTTTTTTTTTAAAAAAAAAGTATTATATGAAAAGTAATCAAATGTGAAAAAAAGTGGAATTTACATATAAGGGCTCAAAAAATGAAAATAATTACAAATAAGGGTCCAAAGTGAAAATAATTACAAGATTGCAAATTTTTAGCATACAAAATTATATAAATGTAATTGTCTTTTGACATTTATTCTTTCATGTAAAAATTCCACCCACTTTTGCCGATTTTAAAAAGTATTTAACTTTCTCTACGAATAAAAATGAACTTCTCCGGTTCTAAATATCTAAGTTAAATGCATAGTAACCTTCACAAATATTGATTCACTAGTTTGATATTGCGACAGGATAAACATATTAGTTTAGAACCAAATAAACATTACACTATCAATATAACCTAGTTGAATCGTTTCTTGTTTAAAAGAAAGTTCATTAAATATAAAATGTATAAATAAATACATATATACGTTCGAAGAGCTACTAACATCATAACGCAAAATTATTTTGGCCTTTAATTGTAAAACTTTACAAAATTTGGGCCCTTATATGTAATTATTTTCACTTTTAGCCCTTATTTGTAATTATTTTCATTTTTCGGGCCCTCTTGTTGGATGGCCTTCTCTATTTCTTTTGGTTTATTAATTCTTGACGATGATTGTTAAATGGAAAAATAAGAACCA